GTTTTATTTCTGTTGGGTAAATCTTTATATACAGTAGTAAGTTAAGAATGGCAACTGCATTACGTATTTATATTTAAGTGCGAGCACTGTCGTACGTCCAGTGCACACTTTGCAAGTCATTTTACGTATACCAACTCTGTGTACTAGCTTCTGATGTTAATGTTAAATGTTAATCACCGTTTATTTGAACAATGCGAACCTGCTCTGCGCTAGAAAGAAATGTTGCTGCTTTGTTTTTAAAAAAAAGGTCAGCCAGATGCGAACGGACTAATCACCTTCGGCGGCGGCACAATATCCACCGAATGGAATGGCCACAACTACCAGCCGTCCACAGCGCTGCTGAACGTGACCGAAGAGCGACACTTGAATAACTGCTTTAACGCATCGGATCCGCAGGATGTTTTCATGCGGAAGTATTGTTTCCCTATGAAATGCGGTGAGATCGTTATACAGTGTACTGTTGCTCATATTTGCAGTAGCTTTTCGTATCCTTGTCGTGTTATGCTGTTGTTTGGGCTTTATTGCAGGTATCGATATGTTGCAGCTGGGATTCTGTCCGCGTTCCAATATAACAGCATGGAGCAGCCGACCGGCTCCGCTGGCGAATGGCAACGAAGCGGTTGCGGCTATATTTTCGCCCTTTATTCTTATGTGTGTGGAAGTGATTGTCAGCGGTGACAGCAGGGCTCGGAAATGCGCTTTTGCTGTTCTGGTCATCATTCACATGGCGGTTATCGGTGTTTCAGTAGCGTATTTCGTCATTATACGCGATGTCATCGCTGTCTATGAAGAGTTCCGTTCGAGTCCATTTGCGCCAAACCCCATCGTCTTGTGTGTCAAACATGGCAGATTGTGTACATATTGGTAGCAATGCGGTGTTGGAATATGTGCACGGGGTTAGTGAATCGCGCAAAAGTGAATATATGGCTTAATGCAAATATTTAAGATGGAAACTCCCACTTCTGTTGCGTATGAGAAAAATACCTGAATAATGTGTGCTTAAAATAGCCGAATAGTAGTGTTCTCGAAACTGAATCGATACTTCGAATGCTGCCTTATATGGGCTCCCCTTATATTACTCTCCCTTATCTGGGCTCCCGGCTAGTTAGCCATACCCGTCAAATTAAATTTGTCGGATTTATAGCAGAACCCTTTTCTGCTTCTTTCAACCGGATTTACTAGTCAGCACACCAAAGAATTCCGAAATTTCACATCCAAATTATATTTATATATGTTATCTATATATAGTATTTTCCATTAATTTCAACCGGATTTGCCAATGAACAAACTGAAAAATGCCGAAATTTCATATCATATTATTTTTTCATGGGGTTCTTAGTGCATTTAAGCGGGCGACGTTTAGAAAGATTTTGAATTTAGAAAGATTTTGAAAGATTTTGAATTTTAGGAAGATTTTGAATCTGTCGTTGATGCAACCTGAGCACTTTGAAACAAACTAAATGCTACAAAAGTACCGGCAAAATAAGTATTTTGAATAAATAAAATTTTCAGTCAGGCATAACACTGATAACAGCTGCAAAAGTGTGAGTAATAACGTAACCGCCCATGTAGAGGGTTGCTCATATTGCTCGGGAGCCCAGATAAGGGAGAGTAATATAAGGGGAGCCCATATAAGGCAGCATTCGAAGTATTGGTTTACGAAGATGCATTTAAAGCGAAGCTGACGGCTAGATCCAGTGAACCGGGAATAAATTACTGTGTCTAATATTGTCTACTCTAGACTGAATGTCGGCATATTTACAATACTATTTAAATCGTTATTTTTATTGACATTCGTTGTTTACAGTAAATAGTTCAACACACTCTTTTAGCAACACCGCCAACACGTAACTGTTGCTTTCAAACATTTATTAATTGGACAAATTTTTCTTTTTAATGCGAGATATTTTTTCTAAGAATATTTGACTCACTAATTGCTCTGTAGGTTCTCACAACTGTCAAATGAATTTGACGTGTTTGTGAAGGTAGCAGGCTGTCGGAGACCGAAGTCCTGATCAGAAAAGGAGAACATGGAACAGTTGTTCATACAGTTCTCATTGGGAAAAATAGTTACAAGTACTATCTATTTATCTCACTTGTCGCTAGCGTTGTGCACTTTGTTGACATTCAGTAATTAATGTTTGTGCAACCGCTCTACCTCGTTGTTTGCATCCCATATCGGTTGGCATGATTATACGGGCAGACTGAACGATTGTGAATAAACGGAATATTTAGTGGTAACATGTTGTAAAGAAAACCAGGATCAGAAATCGGCGGACAGCATCGAATTTTTTGAACGTCAACCGGCGTACATTCCATTCCATGACAGTCGGATTCCCCGTGTCCGAAACAAAAGTAGCGGTGCTATCGTTCCCGAGCGCTGAAATGCTGTCGCGCACCCTAACAGCCGCTCCATATTGTGCGCCGCGTAAACCAATAATGCGAGAAAAGAGAAAGACTTTGTCCAAACTTTTGCACTCTGTGAATAGGTTGTGGTGCAGATGGTTGGACTGGATGTTGGTTCCTGTGGATATATTTTTCGAATGGATACGGGCTGACCATGACAATGAACCCAGAACGGAATTAGATAGACGCTGTCGTATCATCACTCTGTTCTTTTTGCTTTACTTCACTCTGTATATTTTTGTGCCCGTCAGTCTGTTCGGTGCGTCCTCATCGGGAATTGGTCCATTCGCGAGACATTGTGAGTGCACCAACAGGATTAGTATCTTTAAAGCTTTTTTCTAATTTACTTAAATTTACGCGTGTACGAAGAACAGTACTTTAACTTCTCACTCTGCGAGCCCATCGCCGAATGCCACTACATGTACTTAAATGTTTCTTTTCACGCCAAGAAAAAACTTTCCAATAATCAGTTTTGGCTTAAAGGTGTACCTAACGAGAACGCGTCGATCGCATTTGCCGGCGGAATAATTTCAACCCAATGGAAAGGTCTCCGTTACCAACCGTCCGAAGCGCTGCTCAACGCCACCGATGAGCGACAGCTGAATAACTATTTCAACGCATCCGACCAGCAGGAAGTTTTCATGCGGAAGTGGTGCTTCTCTCTACAGTGCGGTAAGAATGTTGACCGTTCAATAGCTGTACGGTGACTCAGCCTGTACCCGCTAAACTGTACATAAAGAACTAATAGAAGTATACACATTACTCCTCTAAAATAACTTACATGTTCCTTGGCATATATTTAATTAACCACTGCTACAAGCATGGTCGGTATCGGAAAGTTGCTTGAGATTCAGGGCTCTTCATGTCTCGGATGTCATCACAAACGAGTAGCTGCCAGTTGCTTTCTCATTTATTATAAAGTTGCCCAAGTGGTCAAATGCTGCTTGACTTCAATTTTAGGTATCGATATGACGCAGTTGGGATACTGTCCGCGTGCCAGCATAACAGGATGGAGCAGCCGACCGGCGCCGCTGGCTGGTTCCAGCGAAGCTGTGACGGCCATTTTTTCTCCATTCGTTTTCATGTTTATGGAATCTGTTTTCGGGATCGGAAACAGCAGAGCTACCAAATGCGCTTTTGCGGGCCTGGCTCTGGTTCACACGGCGGTTGTCGGTGTATCGATAGCGTACCACATCATTATACAGGATGTCATTGCTGCGTATCAAGAGTTCCTGTTGAGCTCGTTCGCGCCTGACACCTCCGAGCCGTGTATCAAAGTTGGCCGAGGATGCGCAATTACAATATAACAACCTGTGGGCGTCGCCGGTGCCGTTGCGACCGTCCACATGAGCTCTTGCACGGCTTCCGCTTAACCTATAATTTATTCAACTAATATCACCGAACTGCTGTAGTACTACTGCAGAACGCGACTGTAGTCATCGGAATTAAACATCCTAGCAACCAGCTAGTGTAGTGGTGGCGGTTTACAGGAATCCGCTGCTTCTTAATGGCCTACCCTGGATGACCTTCGTTCCGTCTGGATTCGCCAGCAGCAAAATCAACCGCATTTGCGAAAGCATTGGTTCCTGGAAGTGTGTATCGCGCGCTTATTTTGCTTGCCCGCGTCTAGCACCGGCCGAGCGCTTTCGGTCGGTACTAGACGTTTGTCCAATGTAAAAATGTGTAGTACTCTGTAAAGTTACTGCTTTCACTTTTTAACTCTTGTTTGATCATGTAACATTGACCATTGATGACACAATCATTTTTCAAGCATACTGTAGTAGCATTTTGATTTTTTTAAAAACGAAACTTTTCTGAATTTGGATCAGCATATGTGCCATGATCCGTATTTTTTCTGTTTTTCGCATGCAAAGTATTTCATCAGTTTTGTGCATTTGATATCGAGTAATGACCAGTATCGACCAACTGAACATGATTAATCCGCTGATTTCTGTTAATATTAAGCGGTTCAAACCCGTGTGTTGACGTACACCGATTAAGAATGATGTACAGAGTACTTACTGCACAACATCCAAGGCGTACTTGTACAGGCCGACACATAGTTCAGCACTGCGATGGGTGCTGATCCATTCAAGTGGCTCGATTGCCAACGCTTGCTGGAAGCTGGAGGCATTGCAACGTTGATGACGCAACCTACTTTCTAATGTATTCTCTGCGAGTACGTTTGCCTGCCGGCCGGTGTGTCGTTACTTCCACCTTCCCGTGTGGCTCATAAAAAAATGAGGTAAACCTGACAATAATTCATACATTACCGGTGGGAACTATTCCGGAAGCTGATGCAAATGCTGGCACAGTTTTTGTAACTACCGATAATCACCGCTGTTAATGCACTTCCGCTGTATACACGGGATGACGGGAATACTAATATCGCATCCGTCAAGACTCCAACACAAAAAACTGCATTAGCAGTATCCACATGCCGGTGATCTCTACACAATGCCTTTGGCTAAGCGGACGCTTAGTGTGCGGGAACTTGTTTGCTAAACCGTGAACAATTCCAGTAAATCCTGGTACCTCGTTGACAGTAAACAAATCAATAAATATTAAGCTACGGTTTGCGTAAATGCAGTTTTTCATAGCTGATATAAAAAGGCACCGCAAGCAAAGAATGCACCGTTTACGGTAGTCTGTGATTGCAGCAAAAGCTATATTTTTCGATCCATAGGTTCCGGTGAGAATTGTCTAAACCAGTTTTATGGCTCGACGCCGCAAAACAAAATGTACTACTCATGTGGCGCAGTCTACTATGTATAATATGCAGGTTTACGTTGAGATAACCGTTTCTTTCGCACGGTAGCGCGTTATTCTACAAATAGTGATTTCTTGTGGTTTATAATAATTCTCGCCTCCATGGATTCTCCCTCCATTAAGATAGCGGTAATTCAACCACCGGATTCCACAGTATCGCCATGTATCTGTACAGTATTTGGCGTTGCCATGCGCGACACGACAGTGGGATTGTATCAAAAGTGTGCGGTTTAATGAGAATGTGGGAATGGAAAACGGCGCACGCTGCGATGGAGACTCACCGTAAATGGCGACCACGGAAGTTTTTGACGGCGAGCAAAGAGGAGAAATTGACAAACAGCATCATCCCAAAGGAGGATTCGGATTGGCGTTTCGGCCTATGGTGCTGCGGCTTCGTTTTGTATCTGGCGCTCTATCTCGCCGCTCCCCTGTTCTTACTCTTTCATGCGGACTGGGCTATCACTGCGACCGGGAAACCCTGTAAGTTTTAACATTATGTGCCCTTAAGCTATTTTTTTGCTTTTTTTACTGCTTTTCTACGCCAAAATACATACGCGACCAGAACAAAAAACCTGCTTAAAGGTTACTGGGCATCAGTGCATATTATTGATTATGGCAGAAAAAAATGAAACAGCATCGTTCTTATTTAAAAGCGAAAAAAGTAAATAAATTGTTAATAACGAAAGGAAAAAATTGCTCTTGCAATCAATTTGATTTTTCTCTTGCCGTGTAAATGACTAAATATTAGATCTTTATTGGCAGTGGCCACCAAAATAATAATAATTGCAACCGCTACTGTAGTACACTGCTTAAAGCTTAATGGTTAAAAATTAAAAAAATGACTAAATTAGATCTTTGGATTTAATTCGGTTAGGATTAATAAATATGATAAAGTTAAAATCTGAGTTTCTTTTCTAAGATGTGATTTCTTTGCAAACAAAAATCCATAATACAGTCAGTTTATCTTTTACCGGTATTTGTCCTAATAATATTTCATAATGGAACTGTTTATCTCTAACAGTAACAAGACACGTTTTTATCAGCTCCACTTATTTTTGGTTTGCGTTCTACTATCTCAAAAATTCATTCATCTACCCATTTTGAATTTTCTGTAACTGGCTGATTTTTGCATGGAAATTGGTTTTTTCTCGGAGATGCTATTAGCTATCTATCCTATTACAATGTATGCATCAACTCGTCGCAAACTCACTGAACATCTCGCACTACGAAGTTGTTACACTTCGCCCACTGTATAATGTTCTGCAACACGGGCTAATGAATTTTTGGCACTTCTGTTAAAGGTCAGCCGAATACAAACGGCCTGATTTCGTTTTCGGGAGGAACGATATCGGTCGACAAGAATCCAGAGTTTCCTAAAAAGTTACCGGACAGGATTTATTTTCTGGGAAAAAGAATAATAGACCTTGAATATTTTCCATCAAAGTCGCTGTTGAACGGCACCGATGAGGAGCAGCTGAACAATGACATCCACCAACCGGCACGGCAAGAAGATTTCATGAGGAAGTGGTGCTTTCAGCTAGAATGTGGTACTACAGATCCCCTGTTTTTAGATTCCGTATAGATTATCTAGAATTTTGTAACACGAAGTTTTTCTATTGCAGGTATGGATATGACGGAGCTCGGATACTGTCCCCGCACTAACATAACCGGATGGGCGGAACCGGAGATGCGACAGCGCGGCTATCAAGCAGTCTTTCTTGCCGTCATGTCGGTGATATTGCTGCTTGTGATGATAGCCACTCGACCTTTTAGCAACCACAACAATGGGGAGGCTAGATTTTTTCGCGTTGCCATTCTCATCGCCCACACCGTGGTTGTCGGATTTACCATCAAACTGTATACTGAGTTCTTTCAAGATTATCCGTGGAACGCGTTTGCGCCCAATATCAGCCCTCCCCGTGATCCGGCATCCAAATGGCCCTTTATGTCTTAAAAGGACCTCCAATTTCCTGATTATTTTGGTAGCCTTTCAAGCATTCAAAAGTTTTACTTCAGAGTTTCATAAATTAACTCCCATGCAGTTGGCAGAGTTCAGGTGTTGATCATGTTCTCCGTAAAACTGCAACTACAGTGCTCTAACACAATTATTATCATTATCTCCCTGGGGCAGACAACCCATTCTTGGAATTCGACAATACCATTGAGCTTATTTCATTAGCGCTTACTGTGTTGGCAAATTGCTTCGCTTAAACCGAACCTTATGTAATCACTTTGAGGATTTTTCTCTTGCCCGAACTGAATTTAAATAGATTTAAGCGGCAGAACAAATGCATAGAATTTGACTTTCCACAAGGTTTTGGGGATTCGATATCATTTGATATGCGATGAAGGGGCATCCCCGATATAATCTGTTTAATAGCTGCAAGTGAATTCCCAAATCATTCATTTCCGCACCGGCACTCAGTTTTGCATGTACTAGGCATTTACATTTAGCACGCTTCCTTTTAATAATCTCCGTTATATTTGCCTTTTAGTGGTCAGTACATAATAATATCATAAAAAAGGTATATGTAGAGATTTGCGATCGAATACGATCTAATCTACTGTTGGTTTTGAAGATCACCTGGCACTTATAACTATGCTGTCAAAGGGTGTGTTTGGAAATCACTAAAGTAGATCTCCAATAGAAGGTGAACCTGCTGTATTTGGGTTAACCTGTAGTACAGACTGTAGTACAGAATACGTGGAATTGCGAAATGTAAAACAGATCGCATTTTTTTGTAAATGTGATCAGTGCAGTGCTGCAGATAACTTCAACTTGTACAGGTACTTTGAGGTACCGTTCTGTGTAATCCACTTTTGTGTGTTTCGCAAATTGCCCGAGAGAGACTTTTGTTATGATTTGTACTTTTCAAATGGTAAGCGAAATTGTGTATACAAATAATCCACACAAAAAACTAGACCATTCAAATGACAACATAGAAAAGTTCCTGACGAACATTTATTCTGCGCATCGTTATTTTCTTAGCGTCCATCAGCAGATATGAGGAAACGACCCGAGCACACGCTAAACTGTCGCACTTAACCGCGGTTGTTGTGATTGTATCTGTACATGAACTGTAGTGTCAAATTTTTAACAGATCAGGGATGTTCTCACTTCAAATTGCCCACGAATATCCCATACGTAATTTGTTTCCGAATGCTTTCTTGGCAGAAAATCCATTTCTTCAAAGTAAAATTTTTCGTAAACTTCAGATATTTGCCTCAGTTAGCGTTTATCATGCACGTATCTTTTGATATCATGTGATTTGGTTAAATGCAATATGTTTAGATGGAGGCACCGGTCAACACTGTGATTCCTCTTCATCCTCATCCTCTTCTTGTTCGGAATGACGTCGTCTGTAATGAGTGAGTGCGATTCCTCCAATAATCAGCAAAAAGTCCAGTTTTAATCACAAACAGAGCGAAAATGAAGGTCATCATCACATGGCGTGGGCCGCGTGGCTGCTACATACCGCAACCGCGGCGACAATGACAATAATGTTTGGTCCACCGTTTGCTAAACAAAGATGGAAAGGGGCACCGAGCCTGTTCAGTGCCGGGTGTGCTGCCGTTCGTTGTTTGTCCGGCGCAAAGTGTGCCCCTCGAAAACGAAACGAAACGAACGAAACGTGTCCATCACCATCAGGCTGGGCCATAATAGTAACATTTGGAGACGAAATCGTGGTCGGTATCCGTACCGACATTGCCCCCCTGATTTGATGGTGCATTACATCGATATGGTACCACTATTTTACGCAATTGACATTCTGTACTAAGTATAACAAGTCAAACTTTAACACAATATTTAGTTTCTTTCAATACAACCATTCTTAACGTACAGCTGCGCCAAGTGGTTCTGCGTTCATAATAAAATTATTTCATAGTGGTTCACATTAGTTCACGCAAATACTGGTTCCAACTTAGAGAAGTTAGAAAGCGGTTTCGTTCTGTGATCAAAGTGTCGTGGTGTGCATCGGCTTTTGATCGGTTGGCCCACTGGCCTGGTGGTCAAATGGAAACGGACGAATGTCCTGAGTTTTACGAGGTGGTCTGCGTTTTTCGGACTCAGGACCTGATGATAGCAGAAGGATACCAACAGATGTCCATACAGCCGCACTGTGCTTGTAGGAAATAGTATACTTAACATGCTTGATGAGCAAAACTGTAAAATTACAAGTTATCGATTTTGCGTGCCGATAGGCGCTGTTTTGGGTGATATTTGCCAGATGACAGCAGAACAACCGGAATTCACGGAGCGCCGATAAAAAACGAGAGGGTATGCGCATTGTGGGATAATCCGCAGCGTTTCTAAAGTAATTACCAGAGTATTAATTTATTTACTTCAATGCTGCTAACTTTGTGCACTTTGCTGGATTGCTGCAACCGTTCTAACTGTTCTTTCCGTATCGATTTGCATGGTTATGTGTTCATTTGTCAGAGAAGAGCAATTATTTTTACCCTTCCGAGAAAACCAGGAGTACCAGTCAGTGGGTAACATGGAACTCTTGTGAACGTGAGCCGGCGATGTGCACTTCCTGTCATGCAGGCCGAATTTTCAGTATTCGACACCAAAGCAGCGATGGGGCAACCCCCAAACATCGAGATGTTGCCGCAAACCAGCGCTGCCCTGCAATCTGGAGTTTTGTGTGCACCACTGACGCGAGCCAAAAGCAGGACTGTATCCATAGTTTTGCGCTCCGTGAAGAGGTGCGGATGCAGATGGCTGGACTGGGTGTTGGTTCCTGTGGACAAATGGCGCGAATGCATACACAAACGGGGGTCGCATGGGAACAAATCCGAAGCGGCTTGGCGCTGGCGTTGCATGTGGCTATGCTTTCTCGTTACTTGGTTGTGTATATCGGGGTACCTATAATTCTGTTTGGTGGGGCCTCACTGGAGATCCGGGAACGCGGGAATAATTGTGAGTATATCAATCAAACTTAGCACGTTTTGAGTTTCTTTTCTAGACTGTCTAAATTAAGTTTATAATAATTCAGTGACCTGCATTTGATTCGATGAGAAACCGTACAAGGACATTCATCTTTATTTCTGTTCGGCAAATGCTTGCAGTCATTTAAGAACAACAGTTAATTAAGTATTTATGCGTAAGTACGCGTACTACTGTCCAGTTAGTACACACTTTGGAATTGTTATTTACCCTGCGCCAACTCTGTAGACTAACTTTGCTACAGTAAATGGAGCAACAGTAACCGTTTAGCAACTAAGCGAATCTTCTTTGCGTTTCAAGTCATAATGGAATTTGTAGTTCGGTCTTAATTAAAGGTCAGCCAAATGAGACCGGACTGATTGCCTTCGCCGGCGGCACAATTGCAACCGAATGGAATGGCCACCATTATCAGCCGTCCGCGGCGCTGCTGAACGAAACCGAGGAGCGATACCTGAATAATCAATTCAACGCATCGGATCCAGAGACTGTTTTCATGCGAAAATATTGCTTCTCTTTTCTCTTTGAAATTCGGTGAGATTATGTGCAAACAAGCAGTGTACAGCTGCTCAATTCTTCATCCCAGAGATGTTGCTGTTATTTGGCGATTATTGCAGGTATCGATATGTCGCAGCTGGGATGCTGTCCACGTCCCAACATAACAGGATGGAGCAGCCGACCGGCACCGATGGCGAATGGCGGGGAAGCGGTTGCGTCTGTTTTCTCGCCCTTTATTATTATGAGTATGGAAGCGATTGTGATAGCAGGGCTCGAAAATGCGCTTTCGCGGTTCTGTTCCTCATTCACACGGCGGTTATCGGTGTTTCGGTAGCGTATTTCGTCGTTATACAAGATGTCGTTGCTGCCTACCAAGAGTTCCGCTCGAGTGCGTTCGCGCCGGATCCCATCGTGTTGTGTATCAAACATGGACATGGCAGATTTTGTACATATTGTAGTAAACACCGCGTTACTAGTAGTAACGCGGTGTTTGGAATATTTTACGCATGGGGATATCAAACAGCTTCAAATTGTCCTTTCAGTCTAAACTAAGGCTGCTTTCTCATTCTCCGAGAAATTGCGTATTTGTTTTCATTTTCTTCATGGAAAATGTATATATACACGTAGCTTAATGCGAATGTTTAAGGAGGAGCTACCGCTTCTGTTGCGAATATGAGAAAAAAACCTGAATAATTACGACTGGCGAGTATCAAAGATAAACATGCCGCCTGTGAACGATTGCGTCACAATGTGATTTGACTTGAAGCGTGCACTGCTCCGTTAAATATGTTCTCCCAAACCGAATCGATTTTGCTTACGAAGATGCATTCAAAAGCGCAGCTGGATCCAATGACCCGAGAAAAACTTCCTTCACTGACAATGACTGCAACTAGTAGATAAAGGTAGTGTTGCAGAGTGTTAGCCATCTGCGACACTGCTCGTAGTCTTTGTAAATTTTTGCGGCAGGTTCATTTGAACCGTGGCAGGTTCTTATATGCGGTATACGACTAGAATCAGTCGTAGCATATATGAAACTGTAGTTTCGGTTTTTGGTCTTCGATATCCGTGTGTAAACAAAAAAAATTTTTGGCGCCCGTAGAGTACGGAAGGGTCCGGCCGGTTGAAGGAAGCGGTGGGGCCTAACAGTCATGTGACACGAGTCATGTGACATGAGTCATGTGACATGAGTCGAGTAACGATGTGTGAAAGTGGTAGATGGCGTTGTTAGCTCTGCATCTTTTTTAGTTTACATTATGTGCTCCTACATTATGTAGGAGCACATTGCAATGTGCTCGTACATTATGCAGGAGCACATTGCATCGGTTCTTGGAGGAGAAAAACGGAATTTTAGTATCCAAACAAACGTAATCCAATATGCTCCTGCAATGTGCTCCTACATATGTAAGAGCACCTTGCAATGTGCTCCTACATATATGTGCTCCTACATATGTAGGAGCACATTGCAATATGCTCCTACATAATGTGGGAGTACATTGCAGGAGCATATTGTATGTGGAAATTATAAGGGGTAGGAATATAAAGTGATGAATAAGGAATTTAATAATATAGTAAATTATATTAAAGGTGATATGTTTGACGAAAAGTGATAATGAAGAAAGGGTGTACTAATCCAGTGTAGGGAAAAAAAGTTCTACATTGAATTAGGGTGAAGGTAGTGGGAGTTTTACTGTAGTATGGTATAAATATATTCGACTTTCTGGTTGTTTGTATTTGAGTGTTTAATGAAGTGTTACAGGAAGTGGAGTGTGTTGCGGATTGTAGATGGTGATGGATTGTTGCGGAAAATTCAAGAAATTTCGAGAAAGTTGATTGCTTAATGGAGCAGACTATTATGCTTTGCTCTGATAGTCTTGGTTGTGTAGGAACAGGTGGTTTGTATATGGGAAGTAGGTTGGGAGGTACATTAAAAGGTTGTTCGAGAAAAC